CGGTTCCCCTAGAATCAATTTGCCAAGAAGCTTGGGCCGCTCGGCCTTGACCCATTTCGCATGCTCATTGTTGACCTTATGCACGAGTGCGAATTGGGTACTTGGAAGGCGCTGTTTACGCACCTTGTACGGCTTCTTTATGCTCTTCCTGGGGGTAGCCAGCTGGTGGCTACTCTTGACAGCAGGTTCGCGAATTCATAGAGTGCTGTCACTATTTACTAATGAGTCGTCGACTCTCAATATTACCGTAGATTTCGCCAGGTCCTCACGTTTGGCAATGGCGTGATTCGAAAATTTGCGAACAACACATCCTGAGATGAAACGATTAGCGGCGCGTGACTTTGAAGATATCTTACAGGTTATTCCGTCTTTCGTTTTTTCTTAGACTAACTGACATGTTCCCCAAGTGTTCTATTCCAGTTTTTGAAGGGTTGTTTCCACCAGACCACGATGCAATCGTGCAGTCTCTGTTGTATCGATTCGCACAGTGGCATGCAATCGCTAAACTTAGAATTCATACAGAGTCTACGGTTACTTTTTTTGACGAGATATTCAAGAAGCTCTGTCAGAACTTGCGGAAGTTTCAACGCAACACGTGTGCTGCCTTCAATACCATCGAATTACCGAAAGAAAAAGCGGCTCGCCAACGAAGACTCGCTCAGCACTCAGAAGCCCTGGTACCACCCTCTCCAGAAGTAAATGGATCGAGGGTAAAGAAGTTCAATCTTGGTACTTACAAGTTTCATGCAATGGGAGATTATGTTAGAACCATCAAGCTCTTCGGAACAACAGGATTCTTTCACCACTCAAATAGTATGTGCCTGTTTTATTTACACTATCCACCTGATGTTCAGTTTGGCCAGGGAGAGCTTGCACACCGAGCCCTAAAGGCATTTTACCCGCTAACCAGTAAATTAGACACTCCAGCGCAGTTAGCTAAACACGAGCGGAGGCGCCGTGTACTTCGACTGTGTTGCAGAATTTGGAGGCACGTCATTCTCCTCTGATAGCCAATCGCCTACCGAAGCCCCGCCTTTGGTGCTCTCTCGAAACCATCACCACATCGCGAATACTAAAAGCAATCCAGTCAACCTATTCCCCTTCCTTCAAGAACACGATGGCGACCCAGCAGTTAAGGTAGGCATGATATTGCGGTTGGAACTCTTTTCTCACAATAGTCGTCAGAATTTCATTCCAAGGCTGAAGGACTACATCCTTTACAGGCTGCGCAAGCTCGACACCAGTCATTGCGACCACGTCTTCACAGATGAAGAACACAACTCGGTAGTTATCCCTAATAACACTATCTACTCAGTCCAAACCATGCAGGTGTATTACACTACATACGACCTCAGACGCGAATATGATACGATCAACCCTAGGACCCACGCTGACGTCATGGTGCTTTCGGGGGAGACGACACCCAGCCACCCATATTGGTACGCTCGCGTGCTGGGTATCTATCATATGGAAACCTGGCTCAACGACGGAGATCAACCTGTAAAGCACCGTCTTGAAGTCCTCTGGGTCCGATGGCTAGCACCATTACGGAACCATAAATGCAGCATGAAACATACTCGTCTTCCGAAAGTCGCATTTGTTGACGAATCTGACCCTGACTCGTTCGGGTTTCTCGATCCAGACCAGGTGATTCGAGGAGCTCACCTGATTCCTGCTTTTTCCGCGGGATGAGGCATAAGCTCCCTTTCCCTTGGGAAATCATTGGGACGTCCTGATGGGGAACTAGATGATTGGGAATCATATTATGTTGGGATGTGAGTGTGCTAGCATATTACCTTTTATGATACATTAACCCTCGAGTCTTGGGTTAGCTTTGTCGATCGAGATATGTTTATACGCTATACTCACTTTGGCATTGGACACCCAGTAGCGTTGTGCAAGATAACCAGAGACTGTCTTGGCTCACTAGTAGCGGCCCCAGCTGACTGTGACTCAGACACTATGGATATCGTTGACGATGCAGACCTCGAAGAAGCAGAACGTGACGATGAACAGGACTCGGATGAGGACTCGGATGAGGATGAGCTTAGCGATGAGGAGCTGGATGGAGATGATGGAGATGGAGATGGAGATGAGGATTTGTTTGATGATCATCTTTCTTTTTAAATTTTCCTCTATCAAGTTAAGCCTTCAATTACTAGGTTTGGCAAGCAGTACGATGTACACGCTTCACAAGCTGTCTTTGTCCACAGACATACGGCGTGTAGCTACTACAACATGATTACTAGGCTGGTCACCGTGACCCTCTTTGGTTCAACGAGTTTCTTTCCATCATGTATGCTTCACGTGCCCTCGAAACCTTTTCAACCTCTTCAATGGCCTCGTACTAACACTGGCCATCAGCGGGTTGGATTGTGCTACGGAGTGCTGCAGAGCGCTCTGCAGCACTCTGTAGTGAATTACGTTTGCCTGATGGGCCGTACCCGTACCGTGAGGGCCGACGTTCCGAGTCCCTTCTGTGACCTGATCCATCATGATTTCGTCATTCTCATCTGCATCTCGACTCGGTCAGGACAATTATTTTAATTTCTATCTACATTATCATGGTTTGTCGCTGATGGACCCAGATATAAGGCCTCAGCCCAGGTGTCGGTCTGCGTGTCTACGTAGTACTAGTGCTGACATTCCTATGATGACGATATGCTACAGCCTAGCGAGTTAGGCTTCGAGCAATGCACCCGTTCCTTGGACCCTAGTAGGCACCCACACCAGTTTGAGTATGGTTGACTCTTTTATCCATGTACGTTTTCAGCTAATTTTCAGTGTCAACTGCCAACGTAACAATAAATTTATTCAATTACGTTGGTAGCACTTAGTATGATCATCATTACTAGTTTGTTCACAAGACCATTTCCAGCGCACGCCTACAATAGAAAACCTGAACGTCAATGTCTTCAGGGAAGTTTTTTTTGGCTAATACTAAAAGTTTGACGATTAACACTAAATATAGTGAGAGCCGCTAGTGAACGCTAGCCATCAGTCTCCTACCCTCTCACTCTTCCCCCTTTCCCCCGCCCCCCTTCTGCTCATGTCCCAGATGGAGTATGATCAGCATCCCGAAGAATTGTCCCAGGTGGATAACACCCCACGACCTCTCGCAGCATCGCCCATAGTGGTAGCACCGACGTCTGCCAGTGAGAATGCTGGTCAGAAACGGAAAATTGCTGACTTAGAAGAGAACCTCACGTCGGGGCATACATTGAAAAGGTATGAGCCTCGCTTTTACATCTAGTCTGGTGGAAAACAATCTCACAAGGACGAGCTATCATCAGACAAATGATTACCTTACTCGATAACATTGAGGACTTAGTAGGCAAGAATGGTTGCGATAAGGATGACGACGACATTCATGTAACTCTCGTCTTCAGGTTAGTGTTTCATCTCTGTCTTATGAGAGCTACTCATGGATTTGTTATTAAAGCCAGGATCGTTTGCGAATCGGATATGTGGCCCTCAAAACGTCTTCAGATAGTGATAGTATGGAGCACGACAATCACTTGCATATGTCAAAAAGGGTGAGCTTTGTCAGTGACAATAATTAGTGTTGTGTTGAATCGTTGTACAGCTTAAACAGAGGGTCTACGATCTTCGAGGAGATGTCAATGGCGATCAGACTATCGCTAACACTCTCATGACGCAAGCCCAATTGCGAGACTCCCAGAGACGAATCAACACCCTTCACACGGAACTTTTTGATTTGCGAGGCAGGTTGTATGACGCTCAAGTTGAACATGCCCGCGACCTGGCAGAAATACAGCGCGAGATGTTGCAGATGAGGGAATCTAGTGGTCGAAACCATAAGAAGCTGCCTTCCTCACCTCCCAAAAGGAAGTCAATGGTTCACGAATATTACCCAGATGGTGGACAATTGATTAGGTGGCTTACAGACGAGGAGTTCGAACCGTATGATGAACTGTCTACGGAAGAAGGCTCACGTGTTGCAAAGGTTGTTGGTGGGCCGTCGTCATGCGGATTGGCAGCCAGACGACACATGTCTTTATCTCGCCGTTGGGCTTTGCGTCATTTTCAAAAAGTCAAGGATGCCCGTGCCAACGCTGATTACTCAGAAGAGTCTGTCAGCACTATGTACCACCGTGCGAATGGCACTCCAGAGATCTGAAGGAGAATTACCCCCATCACATACTTTTCATCACCCTTGAATAATCTTCCTTTCCGTTTCTCGCCCTACCCATGAATTCACCACAGAGTGCTACAGAGCGCTCTGTAGCATTCCGTGGCACAATCCAACCCGCTGACATCGAGCTCGGCATCCTTCAAACCCTCGCTCATTATCCTTCTTGTTCCTTCCTTGCTCCCACCCGCCACTCCATCTTAATTAGCTTTTCTAACTGTTAATGCATCGTATTCCAGTCTTATCACAATTAGTAGAATATATAAAGCTTATCTCAGCGATTTGCAGAGTCAGCACACGACCGAATTCGGCGTAAGTAGGTGGCACCACCTGTTTACATAGTAACACTCGGACCTTAGGTTGTGCCTCCGACTCTTCCTGAGCCAGACGAAGCTGGATTTTCTTTCTGCCGTTCAAATCAGTGAGTTACTAAGTCAGCCAGTCAAGGTTGCTACTTGTGATCGACGAGTTTTAATGAGCATCATGCCATCAGGCAAACGTAATTCACTACAGAGTGCTACAGAGCGCTCTGCAGCACTTCGTACTAGCCTGACTCGGAGCCGATGTACTATGGTGTGGTATGTGACAATTTCTTGAGTTTACGTTGACGCTAACATGATATCCTGCATAAGTATTGTCACTCAAAAAGGTAAGTAACGTTATTAATCGTTCCTTGTCTGACACTTTCCATTGTAGGCGTATGATCATATTTAGGGCAGCTGCCTTTGCTGACGCATACTGGGTGGCCGTTAAATAAAGCAGAGGGTACGCAAATTCAACTCTATTCCTACCTCTCTTACCTTCTCTCCACTCCCCACTCCCCAATCTCCTTTCTCTCGCCTCGCTCATGTCCCAGGTGGACGATAACCCACAGCCTGAAGCATCGTCCCAGATCGAGCAGCCTGCTGCTGCATCGTCCATAGCGGTGCCAACGTCTGATATTGCTCGACAGAGGCGCAGAATAGCTGATCTGGAGGAGAAGCTGCAAGTGCTCGAGTCGGGGCATGCGGTGAAACAAAGGTATGAACACCATCGTAACATGTAGTTCAGTATACTCATCATTGTCAGGGAAACAAACTACTTCATGTCACAAGGACGGGCCATCAGACGGATGGTTACACTATATGATAGCGTCGAGGACTTGATAAATGAAAATGATAGGCGGTGTGACATAGAGGGCGACGACGACGATGTAACTTTCGAGTCCGCGTTTCACCTCCACCTACTGATCGCTACTGACCGGTTGATACCAGTCAAAATCGGTTGCAAACCGGATATATAGTCCTCAATAATGTACTTCCGTGGTTTCACCGAAAGGCTTCCGACATGGAGTACGAAGATTATACGCACATGTTAAAAAAGGTGTTCTTCGCTTGTGTCAATAATCAACCTTATATTAAATCGTTTTTTAGCTTAGACAGGGTGCGGACGGTGCTCGAGGTGATGACACTTCGAAGCTCAAGCCTCTTGTCCCTGATTGGGTCAATCGCGAGTGGAAACCTGATCCCCCAGTCGACCCCAAAGATAAACACTGCCGTGGATTCACCAACGACGCCTGTGGCAGACTGCTCTGTCCAACAGAGCTAGACTGGAATAACCCAATGTTAGTATTGCACTTGTGATCTCTCTACTAGACACTAATTTTCCGCCAGTGTCAGAGCAGGAATTAGGGACCGCATAGACGGCCATATCGTGACAGAAATGTCATGGCCCGCATTTCTTTATGCAGGATACACAGCCGATCCGAATAATCTCGAGGAGGGTCTCTTCAAAAGCAAGCTTTTAGTTCAGGTTCGTCATACTAAAACAGATCCTCAAAGCTCTCATTTTTGGCAGGCATTCAAAGCCATATTTACATCTCCCTCTTCGGCAAAGGAAGTTGCTGGTGATGGTGATGGCGCCAACATCATCGAAAACAACAGACGCGCGAAGAAGGATGTTTTGGGCAAGAAAGTCAAAACACACGTGGCTCAAATCATTAAAATGCACAAAGTCTCACCTCGCTCGATCGCTTATGTGTCGTGTCAAGTAAGTGGTCAGTTTTCCATGTCCTTACCGAGCACTAACAAATCCTGACACATGTAGTTGTGATTCGCCCTTTCCTCTGTAACGTCATGGCGGTCAGTAGACGGCGACTTTGATTACATACAATTCTGGTGCAATATCGTGGACTTCTTTGAACGCCCCCCTGGTCGAACAGTGCAGCGCAATGTTGACCGACTTCTGACGTGGTGGACGAGGTAAATTGATTACAAGTCAACAGCTGTTAACTGACCTCTATTTATTAGGAAAGTTTTTGGTACAAGTCGTCGGGAGGAACTCAGTGATGCGGCCAAGGCTCACATGTCCGTAAATGCTCTCGCAATGCAGCGGGCACGATTGGATGATGCACTTTTCAATTCTGAGTAGTTCACGCATCCGAGTCGTTCCAGCCATTTATTATTACATCACAATAGTTGGTTGTCTACCCTTTTAATTAATGTCATGATTTGCACCAAGTTTTAATTGTTTGACGTGGAGTGATAGCAGGCTGACTATTTGTGCTCGTGCCATAAGAAAGCAACAAAAGGGGGGCTGCTACAGGTTAAGCTATGCCTGGTGAATCCAGGCAACAGATTGGGTCTTCTGCACCTCGTTCACATGTTGTGAACAATCTACAGAGTACAGGTTGAGCTACAGCTGGTGAATTCCCTTACTTGTGCTCTGTAGGCTGCATCGGAGAAAATCTAGCGTGATAGGTGCCAAAACATATGATTTTACAGAGAATGTGAGGCAACAACAATTGTAAATACTATCGAAATGACAGGCCCACCCCCATGATGTAGGGAAAAGCCGGAATCAATTCTCTCCGTCCATCTACATGTTGAGAATTACAAGAAAGCTGAAAGGTGATACCCGATTCGTAAGACATGGACAGGTCAGGATATCCATTCAGTCTATGTACTAGGTCAGCAATTGCTCGAGCATAGCAAAACGAAGCCGGTAAATACCTAACATTCCCCAACAACAACTTTGTCCTTTCACGGATGAACTAAGCCGACGCGGTCGCGACTGCACGCACACAGAATTCGTCGCATGAGGTGCTATAAATGCAATGGTATCTATGCATGACGAAACATGTAAGATACTGGATGAATGGTAAGTAAGGTACTAAGGTGAAGCACGACTCACTAGCATAAACTCTCAAGCCAAGGTACTACATCCTAAAGGCACAAGTGTTTGAACGACGCCACGACCTCTTTGGGATTTCTCGCAAGTGAATACAGGTGCCGAGGTATGAGATACTCGTAGAAGGTCGCACGGAGAGTCGAAGCAAGGTATAATTGGGTGCTTGCTTGCTTGGTGAACATATATTGGCTGCTATACAATGATACAGCTTTTTCACACAGATTCGCAATTGATATATAGCGGACAAACATCAACAACTTACGAAAGGTTGGCAGCAAAACTCACAGTATGATATAATTTTATTCTTGCGCGCTCAGAAAAAGGTTTGTCGTTCTCTGGAGAATATCAGCTTTAAGTCTTGCTCAGAACATTGTCCCAGGATCGAGGGACTTTAAACATCGTGAAACTTACTTCTGACGTGCCAATTGTGTTGCATCTAGCTTGACTGTTAGCTTTTGCTCTACATTCCCTTCACGTTGGAGTTTGAGTGACGTGTGGGTGTTTTCCCGATTATACACCGGTGTATGAGATTTAGACAATGTTCTTTCCTCTACAAGGTCAAACATCACAATGTATTGATCAATGGCAGAATTACGCCGATGTTTGTGATTATGTACTATATATTACTATATATCTTCTTCTCATCTTTCTGCCAGTCTCGTGATGGAGTCTGGGGCCAGAGTCTGGGGCGTTCGGCAAACACGGCTGACCCGGGCTGAGTTTGAATTGTTTTTGTCACGTGTTTGCTTTGTGACAATTCCAAAGCCACCCGCCATCATCGTGCCTCCTGCCAGTACTAGTGTGCCCGTCGTAGATGGCTAGCGGCTGCCGACACACCCGCCAATCTACTCACCACATGCAGTTAGCATGCTATGTTCGTGCTTCTCCGCACCAAAACCAGTCAAAATTATGATCGTCAATCCACTGTCCCAACACTTGTGCTTCCTCAACGTGTCTTGATTCTGCTACCAGTGTCTGCCGCACCTTCGTTGCTGTGTTTTCTGCTTCCCATTTTCGATCTCCTCCGCTGTCTACTCTCAACATGTTTTCGATCTGCTCTGCTGTCTACATCCTTTCTGCTCGGCTCTCGATGTTTGCGATCCGCTCTCAGGCTGTTGTCTATTTCGTTTATGCTCGGCTCTCAACGTACTTTCGAGGTATACTCCACCTGTTTCGCATCGGTTTCACTATTTTCCAGCTGCTTTCGTATACCGATTGTATTCCGCATAATACCTACTAAGCAATCAAAGTATATTTGACACTATTTAAGCACATTCTGGGAGGACAGCGCGAGTGTGCGTGAATGCGCCTAAATGTGCGCAATATAAAAGAAGCACAATAGAGCACATGGGGCACTGCCCCGTCTTATAGAAAATATGCTGTCAGTCCGGATATCGAGCGAAATGCGCGAGTATGTGCGCTGTCTCTCAAACGCACATTTCAACACATTCAGCCCTATTCGAGCACAGCTGATTCTCACTGGGAGTACTGAGTACTGATCATTGATGTCACCAAGTGCAGTGCGGCCTGCAAGAGGTCACAAAGGGCGGGTCACAACTCACAATGGACGGGTCACACTGGTATTGCAAACGTGACCAGATATAATTGGAACTCAGAATTAAGCTCCGCACGCGTCAGCCGCAGCCCCAGACTTTGACCCCAGACTCCGCCCCAGACTTTGGCCCCAGACTGGCCGTTTCCTGGATGTCCTCGCTGTTTCTTGCCCAGTTTGGTTTTAAACAAACAGTCACGTGTGGACTATAATACACCAATACATTGTTGATTGATTCCCGCTTCGATCGCTACCAAGTTAAAGGCCCTTTTTGTCGTCACACGACATATCTGTTGATCTGTTCATCTAAAGGGACAAGGCCTCCAAGGTAGTCCCAGCAAGTTGTAGAAATCGGGACATCGAAAAAACGACGACCGAGTAAGTACTAGTACTCGAGGGCAGTTCAAGATATCTCAAATTAGAGCTCTGAAAGTTCCTTTAGGTCCCTCCGAGGTCTTCGCATTTCAAGTGACTATCAAACTTTGAGCTTCAGAAGCTCCCCAGTATAATGAGTGCACGCGGCGAGTTTCCGAATCAATCTTTGTGCTTCACTTGATGAAACCTGTGTAAGTTATATATAGTTATTAGGTGCGTTCTGCGTTTGTTATGTAGTTTGACTAAAGACTGAACAATGTATGTACCTCGGAATAGAGCACGACTGTTGAAACTACTGCCTTAGGCATCGAAGGTGCAACTGTATCTTCTCTCAATTCGCTTCCTGGTCGGCGTATCGAGTGAATCATGAGGGTGAAACGCTCCATAACGACCACAGCAAGCTCAGTTGGAACTCCAATGATATGATCTTTACCCTGCCACCTTGATGAGTTCACAGCTCATTTATAAAAACTGAGAAGGCGCATGATGTGTGTGTGAAACACATTTGTTGACCTTTAGATGGGGCATTCGACTAACGATATCGCAGCAGCGAGGAGCTTGCAGTTCACTACGGTGTGTCTCCTTTGTCGATACGAGGACGAATTATAATTGACAAGTCATGTATCATCAGTACATATATAGTGCGCACTATCTAAACCTCACATTCTTCGTCCTATTAATACAGCTCAGCGTCGATGGCTACATTCTGGGTGAGCTTATTCTAATCTATTCATGTCCGCTGTCAAACTCGCTTATCTAGATATACGATTATGTATATTCACTTGATGAAGAGGTAACATCCTTGTTCCATGATACATCTTGGTTTTGATACCCACAATATGCTGTGCAAAGTGGACATTTTTGCTTCGATCGCGCTGGACCAAGGTGAAAGGCCTGTATATTGTCACACGATACCTCCCCTTTATCGTGCTCGCCATGGAGCTATGTTGTGCGTTCTGCTCCAGCATACATATCCCCGATGATGAATTAACACTTATTCTTAGTGAGATTTACCCCGAATGAGAACATAGGTGTATGTGATGCGACGAATTAATGAGAACGAACGACTTACTCCATGACTTCGCCAGAAATGCCGGGCGTTGGACCATATAAGTTCAGGTACGTGGTACATCCATCTATGTACATCCTTGCTGAGGACAGCACACTTTCTCCCACAGGGTTCGGCATGCTATTAGCCGTTTGCTCCGAGTGTATGTCTCCTGCTTCCCTGAGATATGTATGTTCCTGATCCAATTCATGCAGGTTTTTTCATCCTCAGAACATATGCGCTCTGGAACAAAAATAGAATTTTGCTCATAGCCATGCTGTCTACCTTTTTCGTGAGTTCCCAATCCACTCACTATACCCAAGCTAGTGGTAGATGCATTAGCCAGACTTTTCTCGTAGTATCCTCCAGCATTGCCGTCGACGCTATGGCCTCTGTAACATGTACGCAGTCTCACCTCCTCTCTTGTATCCCACTACCAGTAAAACATTCCATTTACTTCCATAGATGCAACTAGCGCGATTCCGGGAATTACGGGGTGCTATTGGAGTTCGACCGATTATTGGCTCTTCATGCCTTTTCTTTTCTTTTGCATTTTCGAACTGGGTGGGTAACTGGGAGCATACATACGTACAAAGATATGCTGATATGTGTTCTCCACAGAACTCATGATACTCACGCTCATACGCGCCATACAGAACTGGCGGACAAACCCAAGCCATCTGTACGTTGTCCTGGTGAACCATAACATATCCTATTATGCATGCGGTTTTTGTGAGTTAGCACTCGTACGCGCTGTTTTTCCATACTCATTCATGATCATTCTCTTTCCTGAAGTGTTCTCGGTAACGAACGTCTTCACATCACTGCTCCTCAAGGTGCGCGAATCTATTAAATGTCTTTTATGATCGAGCCGTTGATGTTCCGCGCCACAGTATTCCTACCACACCATGTTTTACAAGTATGAAATTCCAATCCTGCTGTGTATTCCTACTAATAATACCCGAAACGCACACCCATGTGCAGTTTCCAGTTCATGATTCTTGCTATCCTCGCCACGCGCATGCATCTCCATCTCTGGCAGACGGACCGACATCCACATGGCTCTAGCACCCTCATGAGTATTCCAATGTCCGAGATGCCATCTGTAAATTCTACGGCGTGATGTCTTATCCTGTGGCGTATTGGGTATCGTTCGTGGAGCAACGCTTTGTTCGTACAAGATGATCTACGGGGGTGGGCTTGGTAGAGTTGGTTACGTTCTTAACTTATAGGATGAGTCTGTCGAGGGGTGGGAGGAACATTTAGATGCCTTCGTCTATTTAAAAAAACAATTCGGGCTTACTACTCCCGGCTTTCTATCGCACCAGCGCAAGCCAAGGAACCAACTCTTAAGCACAGGTTTGAAGGACACTGGAAGGAGAACTCGAAATTCGTCTTTTTGTGCGACAACATCCACATTATGAGCAGTTCGTTAAGCGCCACGATGTGCAAGTGGGATGGAAACAATGGACTTGTGAGAACCATCGGAAGGCAATGTTGGATGCGTATATACACGGCAGCAAAATCGCGTGTGGAAGGGATGACGACGGAAGCGTTCAGCGGCGGAATAGCAACGGAGAGATGGAGAAAAGGGTTTCGACGGGTCATAGCAGGTAGTAGCTCTCGTGATCTCCGAGCGGGTGATTATAATATAACTAAGGAATAACCGGAAGTATAGTGCGGTATATTATCGTCGGAGGCCTCACATAGGTACAAGATCGGTTAATAAACTGATATAAAAAATGAATCCTAAAGAGGTAGACCCAGCCAAAGCCAACGCTCCGAACCAAGCTTGACCCAAGTCTACACCATTGAACAAGACAACGTCATATGCATATTGGGCCCCTCTCCCCAACACGTCTGAGTTGCAGTAGCAATTATTATAGGTACTTGTAAACTCCAGCATCCCTGCCACAATTATCCAGATTGCATTGATGATTGCCAACGATTTCCCTCCCCATCTCAAAAGGTTCGATAGTACCTTCGCGAGACTGAGAGTGGTGGATGAGAAAGAACCACTGTGTCTGTCTGAGTACGAGGATGCGTAGTGCGACAAGGTGCTCGACATAACGAGCATCGCCCATACTATCGTTGCAAGTGTGCCATAGATGAGATAACCGAAAGATCTACAACCAATGCCCTGTCGTGTGTCGCTAATCAACAACAGGCGCAGATAACCGCATATTAGATTATGCTTACCATAGTCGGAGTAAAATATACAACTAATATCGCAGATACAGTTGTTGCCCATTGCAAAGCCAGGGGCAGCAGCGAGGCCACGAACATGCGAAAGAACATCCCTGTGGCCCAGGGGCTTCGTACCACGTATCGCGGAAGTTTGCAGTAAGCATCGACTTCTGATGCATTGCCTCTCCTGTTGCCGGGTTCAATAAAGTTCCTCCTATTGGTGTTTATCCATGTAGCACCAATCATGACCGGCCTGTGTATTCTGGCGTTGTTGGAGGCTATTCGAAAAGCATGGAGGACGTCTTCCGCTGACCGAGACCATGAAATGGCCCTGGCATAGTTATAGACGGGTGGAGTCAACATTTCGTCAGGAGACGAAGGACTTTCTGTATTGGTATCAATGGATACTGCTCGTCTTTCCGAAAGATCTGATGCCTTTACAACAACTCCATGATTGGTGGCTACAAATGCCATTGCATCCGCGTTTTCCATGGCCTTTCTGACGCGTGCATGATCGCACTTCGGGGACAGTTGCAACCAACCTATAACAATTGGGATAAGCCACAACCACACCGATCCCGTCCCTTGACCGCTGTTGGAATTGATCTCGGAGAGAACGTCAGATAGCGAGCTGGCGACCGTCAGTAGGTAGGCGATGACTACCCACGCAATGGATGTCACAGATGCGATGGACCAGGTGTGAGTGTAGTCGAGAAAATCGGCAATGGTCGGCCACCAGTCGTCATTCTGTGGCAGAATAACGAGAGAGCTCAGCAACGAGTCTTCGTTTGTTATTCTCAGTGGACTTTGTTGAAGGCTTATAAGGATACGGACAGCGTCATTAGTGTTGGGGAAGAATAGGTCTTCGAACTGACGACTGATCCAGTTGGCGTTGAGAATGGTGAGAATCATCGAGTAACCAGCGATAACCGGTGATCCGACTGTGAGGATGGCAGACATAAGATTATCAACTCTATGTCTTGCACCGAAAGGCAGCTGAGAAATGAGTGCAAGGTAAGGTAATAACCAGGTGCCGAACTGTTGCGACATGTTTGACCCTGTGTTCCAGAGCTACACTGCGAGAGACACGTCTGGTACGTGAATCCAACTGCATTCATAATGTCCGACGACAGGACATTTCCGCCATTGCCATTCACTAATCCAGATGGATCGAGGCTCTTGTTCGCATGATTTCTGAAATTGATAAAGCAATCGGTAATATTGAAGTTGCTGGCATACGCCCCTTTGAGAAATGGGAGCAGCAGTAAGAAAAATCGGATTCCTAAGAGAATGGTGAGCATAAATCATTATGAGCCATCGAACTCACTATTTGTATCGCGCATGAGCAAAGTCGACTTTGATCAATGGGGTGAAGTGCACTCAAGAAGGAACTTCCTATGTGAATTTATCAGTGCGTCTTTGATAGCCGCTCGAAACTTGGAAGTGCTGGAAAGACTGTGCTCTTGGGGATTTCCTCGCCAAGAAACAGTTCTAGGCCGCCATATAGAATTCTTATCTTGGCTATCCATGCCATACATGTGGTTGGTTCATGAGAACTTCCACTTGAGAGTTGCGGGAAGCTGTAACAGGTGATAATCGATAAGCTGTAATACAAGACAGACGTAATTGCTGTGCTGATGAGCGAGCAGAACCCACTTGCACAAAACGGGCGCGGGAGGGAGCACCTGCTCAATACACAATTGTTGTGCAAGCAGAAGTGCATGCGGGGGGTTGTGCATCCTGAAGGTTCAACAATTTATGCCTGCAAATGATCGGTAAAAAGTGTGTATAGACCTTGTGAGAGGACTCCTCAATGACTTACTACTACTAGCGCTAGAGCATTCCAAGCCCTTCAGTGAGTTGTGATGGCTCATAGGCGGACCAATGAAAGGAAAGCTGCTGTTCGATTGTTCGGGATCCGTTATGTGATGCCAACATAAACCGTTGAGTCAGATTAGTGGAGGTAATTCTATACTCGGTTTCTGCTGCAGCAGGGCAGTCTTTGGCATCTCTAGGAATTCAGCGCACGCGTTATCAGGAGCCGAGTCTGGTGAGATAGTTGATAATACTGACACATTGAGTAGTTACACAGTCTAAAAAGAATTCAGACTGTGTCACGTTGATGTGGTGCAGCAGTGTTATGCAGTAATGATGGAAGAAGCACACAGCAATGGGCTTCGTTACGCCGCCTTTGACGCGGCTGATGAATCGAATATCTAGATCAATGATAAATGTGATAGACAATACCTGGGCCATCTCATAGTTGCTCCTTAACGACCTGAGCCATACTAACTCCTGTTCAGGCTGATGAGGGGGTCCGATCGGACACAGCCAGTGCAAGGTGGGACTCGGAGTCTTTACTGGTACGACCAAGAAGTGCCGGTAAATGCCAGGCCAATCCACGAAGGGGGTCCCGAGGCTCAATGGTACTTTGTACGCTTATTTGAAGACATACTAATTAGAATTGGACGCAGTACCAGTTGAGTCGTATCTGGGTGGCTGTGAGGATTATGAACCATTTGTCATCTTCATACCTGCCGAAGAGCCTGACTTAGCCGAACTCCATTCACAGTCTTCATATCCTTACCCCCGTCTTCCAGATTCCTTGATCCCCATCATGTACACCATCCCACCACCATCCCTGGTACCTCAAAAAGCCGATATATCGGACTTGAAGGCGAGTCCCTCCGTATCACCTTCGCATCTGTTTCATGATCCTCGCACTTTATGTACACTCATCAATCTTCAAGTCCCTTCCGACCGCATTCCCGCTGGCATTCACATATCTATCAATTTCGACTCCCGGAGACGCTGGAAATCAGCCATCAGTGTCTCATTATCTGACGAACCTTAGTTGATATACGTGATCTTCGGGTGTTCTCGTGTTTCCTACTCCCACCTTCGTACGAAGACCTGCAGCGGCAGCACGCCAGGGTCCGGTCATCACCCTCATGTCCAGTAAGTACCCATCATTGTCCCGACGTCAAGAGAGCCCCATCATGTTCCTTTGCCATCCATTGCTCTCACAGATCTGAATATTCCCCAAGGATCGCTTCACCAGGGCCATACGACACGCATCTTGGACGAACCCAGCGGAGTCGAGGGCAGATTCAATAGTACTCTTGCGGATAACGTGGGACAAGATTATGCCCCCATCATCAATGTACTCGAGCACGTCCTTGAACTCAAACGCCGTTCTCGAATCTGGCTGTGTTCAACTGTAGCTTTCACGTTCATTCCTCTCCGTGTAGCTCACCCCTTTCAAACAAAGGCAGATCGTTCTGGGAAGGAGCCATGCCTTCAGGATCTCTACATCTACTCTTGCACGCCGACACTTTCAGCTCTGATCAGACCTAGACACTTGATGAAAAAGCGCGTGCCTCCATCCTTCGTGGCGATCGGACAAGGTCAACCGGGCGCAGGGAAAATCGAGGCGTTCTTGGCTGTTGACAGTGAGCCCGAGCTTGTTTATAAGCTCGTCCCTACGACGGCCAGCCGCACCACTATTTCTGGTGACGCAGTCACACGAGTAGGTGCACTCGAAGCTTTGCAGCAGAACACCTAGCTTGTCATGGTAATCAGGATCATGCGCAACCTTACAATTTGCATCTTGTTATGAGAGACGAACATCTGAAGCTGCTTGATATCATGGTGGAGAAATTCTTGTCGACGTGTCATACCGCCGTCGGCGACGAGAAGACGCCCAACGAAGCGACTCACCTTGCACATGGCCTCCAGTTTTCAGGGTTCAAGAGTGTTGTTGGCACTCGGTGGGAAGTCGACGATACTATCGCAAAACACATTGTCAAAGCTTTCTACATGAATATGTTCGAATATTGTAGTCGTTTGGTAAATTCACAATTCTCTTCCATCCTGTTGTAAAAATGACCCTGATATATCATTGCGCTCCAGCTATCTCGTTCTTGTACACTCTATTGTGTTTTTCCGACTACCAAAGTTTTGTGTACTTGACTCGTTTACAGCGTCGTCTTTTGTTCTGGTACTGGCTGGGCCTGTCGAGCTGACTCGCGCCTTCCTATCATACCCATCGAGTTTCAAGTATATTGCGTGTTAATGCATACGATGATGGGTCGTCGGCCACCTCCCTGCACAACACTCGAGAAACATTTTCCTACACAATACTACTAGTTGGTACATGTACAAGTTCCAGGAAAACAATCGAATTCATGCTAGTTCCGGCATCGGAGTCTGCCACGAGTTTGGCATGATATTTCCGAACGCTAAGGATAAGGCGTGGTCCCAGCACAAACTTGAACAACTGCATGCTCAAGAAAATGTCGCAAGCACCATTGAGTATCAAACCTCCCTTGGAATTCGTATTCTACAGAAATGATGAGCAGTGGTTACAAACAGGTAGCAGTGACAGGTTGCCGCACCAAGAAGTCTAGTGAGAGATAAGCAAGCTGGAGGCAAGAGACGCAAACGATGCTAGCACGTGCGGAACTTGAGCAGATAAGATGACTGTATTCACATTACATGCTCACCTTGCAAAATAAAGCATGTGAGATTCTATCAACACTCTGAAACAGTCTCCGATGGTCGATCTTGTCAATGGACCAAGTCGTTGCAGGTCACGGAAGTGTTTTATAGCAATTCGGATTGACAGACACAATGTGAGGACTTCCCAAACAGCGCTGAACATCAAATCCATCAAAATCAGAAGCTGGCTATCCCCCTGATATCTATAACGGCACATATATGTGCCAGAGAGTATCATCTCCTCTGTTGTTTGTCCAATGAGTCGTGTTCTTCAATGTAACAAGTAAAGCTTACCCGTTACAGTATCGTTGAGTATTATTGCTGTGATTATTGCGCAGGCAATGTTAACAGCCAGAAAGATAACAAAAAGGATGATAAGGATCGTTCTAGATCTCTGATACATGGCATGCAATCGAGCAATCATGATGACTTGTATCATATTTCAATCAAGTCAACTTAATATCACCGAGGTATTGCAGCTCGGTAACTCACCACCCAGCATGGCAGATACGACTACATCCGCCATATTCAATGCATAGTTCGTAATATTGCCTGAAACACGCGATCAGTGATCACCCTCGTACTAATATCAAGCACTCCGACTCACATCTGTTGAGTCATCAAGTCGTGCCAAGTTCAATGTTAGAATCTCACCCACCCCTACATGCGAGTGTATTCATTGGATAGGAATGAGATAGTTGTAGAATACTACGCACTGCATCTGTCAGCGAGACCGATGGCATAAATACTGTGTGCCACTAGTTAGAAGGATCGAACATGGCGCATATGTCACATACACAGAACACAGACACTAATCGTCAGGGATGAGCTATTAGCACGGTGCCAATTTAAGTTGACCTCGACACATACAAAGAATATAGTACTCCAATATAGCGTATCTAGAAAAATTTGGAGTCAGCACAACTGCCGATCACACTATAGCATACCACGAGGTACGAACAGCCAAATACAGCATGGTCATGAGAGACCAGCGTTGCCTCTGTCGCAAATTCATCGTGTTCTCCTGTTTTCTCCTAATATGAGACTCTGTCACTCACCCAGATCAATTCAATCTATAACACCACTCTTAGCGAGTTGGCTGCTCTGATAACATTGACCTACCTCTTGTCCGAGTGTCAGTACTGGAAATATAATAAGAATATCAGCGGTTTCAAACACTGTTCTGTTCACCCCAATCATATACCACCACAGCGCCGGCGGCAACTGCGAAACCGTAAGTCAATGTTAGATCGAGAGGCATTACCAACAGATACGACAAACCCATACAACAGCAGTAAACCAAATTCGAATTGATCATCGGCCACCAAGTGGGATCATTTGAGACTGCGGGCATATTCGGGGGATGGGTGTGAGCGAGTTGGGATGTTGGTGGTGCAGTATGGCGATAGCGTTCGTGACAGATATAACACCGTTCAGCGCTTCTATCGCCAAAATCTGCATGATGAAGATAGATATTTGATCCCGTTTCAAGACACTTGATCAGGTGGAGTATTGCAGTGCGAAATCAATCAGAAAGGAAGCCCTTGATAATCAATCTTGGAGTACATTCGTATTTGCAAACCGGTATTACGCACACGATTACTTAGATACCAGGAAAGTTCCAGTTATTGATGATGTCGACAACTTATTTGCAAAAGGACACAAGAAGGGGATTTTGAATTTCATCTTCTTGCACGACAATATCCACATTGTGAGCAGCTCGTTGGATGACATGATGTACAAGTGGGACGAGGACAACGGACTTGTCGTATGGGAACCATTGGAAGGCAATGATAGAAGCATACATGCAAAGCAGCAAAGTTGCGCGTGGAAGAGATGACACAAGCGTTCAGCAGTAGAACAGTAGAAGCAACGGAGAAACGAATGAAGGGGTCTTGACGGGTCATAGCAAATCTGTGCGGTCGCTCTCGTGGTCGTCGAGCGGGTGAAAAAATCGATGATGAGTAAGTGCCGTTTAAACTCTGGTTAGCATAATTGTTAGCGTCCGTGTCAATAGCATCTCAGACTCATCTGCACGATTGATCAAATACGAATAATGTTCAACTGAGCGAACAAAGTGGTGAGAGTTGGGTATGAAGCCCAATTGCAACTTTGAGTTTCTGAAGGTTAAACTGATTTATGAAATAAATAAAACGACTGGTACGCACCTGTGTATGAAACTCGTTGACCAGTAAATTGCAGGCAGCGCAGACTCCTTGTCTTTGAGCCATGCTACAATGGCAATATGTTAATTTGCTCTAACTTACGGTGCTAAGCCCGGGCCATGGTGTGCGGGGGCTATCATGATGAATGTTTGGATTTCGGGTCAGAACCGATCAAGGCTCCGAGTTGGAACGGAGCTATATATAGTTATTACATACTAGGTGCGTTGAATTCTGTGTTTCTTTTGTAGACCACAATGTATGTGCCAGAGCATAACTTATTATTACTGCCTCAGGTGCATCGAACTCCAGGTGCAACTGTTTATTTTGTCAAGTCGCTCCCCGACTCGCGAGTACATCCACTGAATAATGATGATCATGAACACTCCATCACGATTCACGACCGCGGTCCGCACTGCAAGCTAAGTTTAAACTGGAACTAATTCGAATGATGCTGATGGATTCCTACTAGTAGTATTTACACTGCCACCATGGGGCTCATTCGGCTCATTCACACTAAAAGCTAAGAAGACGCATGATGTGTGTGAAACACATTTTTTGACCTCTAGATGGACTCGTATTCGACTGCCGATATCACAGCAGCGAGGAGCTTGCAGTTAACTAAGGTGTGTCTCCTTGTCGATACGAGGGCGAACCATAATTGACAAGTCATGTTTCATCAGTACATACACAGTGCGTACTGTCTGAACCTCTTACTATTTGGTCCTAATACGATTCAGTGTCGATGGTCACATTCTGGGTAGGGTTATTCTGCTCTACTCACGTCCGCTATAAAACTCACTTATACAGATCTATGACTACGCATATTTACTTCACGAAGAGGTAACACACTTCTTCTATGATGCACCTCAGTTTTGATACCCACAATATGCTGTGCAAAGTGGACATTTTTGCTTCGATCGCGCTGGAGCAAGATGAAAGGCCTGTACATCGTTACACGATACCTCCCCTTTATCATTCTCGCTACGGATATATATAGTGCGTTCCGCTCCAGCACACATCGCCACAATGATGAATTAAACTTGTTCTTCAGGGGGATTTACTCCGAATGAAAACGCAGATGTATGTGATGCGGTGGAGAGTAACAAGAATGACTTATTGCATGATACGCCAGAGATGCCTGGTGTCGGACAATGTTGAACTAGGTACGTGCATGGTACATTCATGTATGCACGTCCTTACCGAAGGCTACTACTTTCCTCCTATAGGTCTTAACCTAGTATTAGTCATTTTCTCCGAATGTATCTCTCGTTCCCTCATACTATGTGTGCGTCCCTCATCTGATTTATCCAGGGTTTTTCATCCTCAGAACATATGTGCTCTGGAACAACAATAGAATCTTGCTCGCAGCCATGCTCTGCACCTTTTTCGTGAGTCCCTAATCTAATCACCACGCCCATACTAGTGGTAGATGCATCAACTAGACTTTTATTGGGGCCTCCACCGGCCTTACCTTCGCTACTACTGCTCCCACAACATGTACGTACTCTCACCTTCTCTCTAATGTTCCACGACTACTGAAACATTCTGTTCACTTTCACAGATCCGACTAGCGCGATCCCAGGCATTACAGGGTGCTACCAGAGTTCCACCACTTTCCGGTTCTTCATACCATTTCTTCTCTTTTCCGTGTTCGATCTGGGTGGGTAACCAGGGGCATATATGCACAAACACATCCTGACAGGTGTTCTCCTCAGTTCTCGTAATCCTCACGCTCATACGCGCCATACACAGCTGGCGGATAAACCCAAATCGTCTGTACGTTGTCCTAGTGAACCACAACATAGCATATTATGCATGCGGTCTTCGTGAGTTACACTTGCACGCGCCGTTTTTACGTGCTCACCCATGGCCATTCTCTTCGCCGAAGTGTTCTCGGTGGCGAACATATTCACATCACTGCTCCTCCATGTGCGTGCATCCCAAATACCTTCTATGACCGAGCTGTTGATGTTCTGCCCCCAGTCCTCCATGTTGTATGAGTATGCACCTTCATACCCTGCTGCGTATTGCTACTGACAATACTCGAAACGTACACCCACGTGCAATTTCCAGTTCATGATCCTTGCGACCCTCGCCACGCGCATGCACCTCCATCTCTGGCAGACGAACCAACATTCACACAGCTCTAGCGCCCTAGTGCATATTCCAATGTCCGACATCTCATTTGCAAATCCCACCACGGCGTGATGTTTTATCATGTGGCTTATTCTGTGTCGTTCGTGGACCGAGGCTTGGACCGTACAAGATGACTGGTAGGGGTGGGTTTGGAAGAATTCGTTACATGTCTAACTTATAAGATGAATCTATCGCTAGGTAGGAAGTAGATCTGAATGGCCTTCGTACCTATCATTTCCACTGCACGCGGCGACGGATTCAGGACTTGTGCTAGAGCCGGAATCCCTTGAGTTTTCGACATCGTCGCCGTGACAAGTATAGGTCGATATAATTCTGCTCCTACACATGATCATGTATACTACGAGAAATTTGACTTAATCACACTCAGAGGACTAGTGTGTATCATGCATTATTCTCATCATCACCCTCAAGTATGTGGAGAAATTGGAAGATTGGTATCCGGAGATCCTTATTGACCAGCGTACCGCCGCCAGAGCAAAAATACAAGGCCTTGAAGGATGCACTAGCACGGAAGGATGGTCCGCACTGCTGGTTCCGAGGTTCTTGAAACACAACGTCAGTGACCTATGCATATCGCCAATGGAAGTAACTAACATTTATCCTATGGAAACCACACAGTCTTGTCGCATTGCATGAACTGCAACATACCTTACAAGCCCTCGAAATAATTTATTGCGGTTATTCATGGATTTGTCCGAGGAATGGAGATCCGAAGATCCGGGCGAGGATCCTCAGGTATTAGTCCTTCCAAATCCTTCAATCGAAACCTGAAATGTTCACAAATGGTATAAGTTCCCAATAGCTCCTTTACATGCTGTAATAAATTATAGTTCAAGCCGAATTCCCTTCCTCCTTCCTAGTCCGAGCTCTGTCCAAATCACCGGGAAGAGTTCAGTTAATAGAAAACGAGTCCGCCACGTCATCGATATGATGACTCCGATTTTTCCACACCTATCTCTCTATTTCAAGCCCACTTGAATACCAATTCGTCTATACAACGATGAGCCTTTCATGCCCCCTGCAGAATACCCGGCACCTGATGTTCGTCTCCTGTGTCATACATCACTGTCAGTCGATGTGTCGTGGGTGCGCTTCTGGAAAGCAATGGTATGCCAATTCCTGCGTCAGAAGTGGTCGCAAGGTGATCGTTGTATGCTCGGATGTGAAGAATGAGACATGGTCCCAGAACAAACATCTGTACGAACAGGACAATTTCGATGACGCCATAATAAACATCAACTCCCACAGAAGCCAAGTTCTGTAAAAAATAATAAGTAATCAGTATCGATACAGCTGGTTCGGCGTACAGATACTCGTGGAGAAAGCGAGCCGAGGTTCAAGCAAGCAGCAGCAGAAAATCTAGCACATGCAGAACCTCAGGGGGATGATAATTAAAGTTCAAAAGAGAAGCTCACATTGTAAAGTAAATCACGTGCATTTTTATCAGCGCCGTGCGACGGTCCTCGATGGCCCATCGTTTCATTTCACGGAAGTGCCTGAAAGCAACCCAGACTGCAAGAGACAGTCCAATGATCCCCCATGTAGTGTAAAATACCCAAGGCACAGCTACTAGGAGTCTGCCCGAATACTGGGATCCTTCGCCAATGCACTGATAGGTGCCGGACAAGACAGTCTCCCCTGATATACATTCCATCAGCATGATGCGCAGTGAGGACTTCGGGTACAGCTTACCATATTGAAAATTCATGCCTACTATCCCAATAACCAATCCACAGGCAATTGTGACGACCATGAAGACTATCACTAGAAAAATGAGCATCTTTCTGGAGTGGTACATAGCATGCAGACGAGCTATGACAATAACTTGTATAGTACTCAGCCAAATCAATATCACTGAGGTAGTGTAGTCGAGTAGCTCACCACCCAACATGATATATACAACGAAAGATGTCCACGCTTGTGTGAAAGCGAGAATAGTACCTAAGAAATCCAGTTACAGATGAGCGTCGAAAGACTCGAACAAACCTACAGCTTTTTCGACGGTTAGACTGAGGATTCCAGTCGAAAATATCACTTACCCCTACATGCGAGTATGGTCAGTTAAAGGGAACGACAGGTATCGGTGAAAGAATACTCACTTTGTCTGTCAGCGAGATCGATTGGTTAGTCGCTGTTTGCGGTAGTTTATAAGATACGAACACAGTGTGTGTGAGGATAGTACGTACATAGTATGCTGAGGCTGATCGTGCCAAATTGTGATCAGCATACTGACAAATGCCAGCTTATTAGACATACACGCAAAATAATATTCCAGCTGAGCGCAGCTAGAATATTCTGAAGTCAGCACAACTCGTCAACCATACTTGAAACATGGATCACGTACAGTGAGATATAGGACCGTCATCAGCGACCAGCGTTGCCTCTGCTCCAAACTATTCTATATCATGTGGTTCCTCTGATATGGGAGTTTGCTCACCCAGATTAATTCAACCTACGAAACCATTATTAGTGAGATGAGTGCTGAAGTGAATCGGCCTACCTCTTGTCTGATTGTGAGTGCTGCAGAATAACATGGAGATGTCAGATGTCAAATAATTCGCTCGCTGAGCATGAACTTGCTCACTCCAATTATATACCACTGCAGTAGAGGCTGCGACTGCCAGAAAATCGAGTAAGACATCACAAAAAGAATCCGACTCGTTCTCCACGAACCTACAACATAGCTGATAATACGATAGGAATAAATCAGCGGCCACAGACTGGGATCGTTCGAGGCATTGGTCATATTGAAGGGATTTGTGTCAAGGAGTGGCGAGCTTCAAGGTGGTGGATGTACAATGATGGCGTTTGTGCTAGATATACCACCATGACAGTGCTTCAATTGCAGATTGTGTATAGGAATGAATATCCTGTGCTGATGGAGTTGATTGGCCTTGGCAAAGTGTTGTCGACTGAAACAAGGTTGAACAAGCGGAGGTTGTGCGAAGGGTGATGCATGTAATCAAAGTAGATCTTTTGATTGTGAAAAGCGGTGTCACGCGAAAGGCTATCCCTGATTCCGGGCACCTGCAGTATGTCTGAAGATGTCCTTGCCACGCCTACATTAGTCTAAACCTAGTATTATGTATCACTGGCAGGCGATGTGACCATCGAAAAAAGCCTAATCTCACCACCTTGCGTGGCTCGCTGGGGCCGGGATCCGGAGGAATAAGAGCCCATCCAAAGTTTATCGAGCTTATGGCAACTTGAATGACATGCAATCTAGGCATCATGTCTTGATCAAACAACTCACAGCTGGGCTGACAGCGCTTTAACAAGATAAAGCAATGCAAAATGCACTAGACTGAATCCATTTGATGCCAGCGCCTTCAGCTAGCCTCACTAGTAGTACTTGGACCATCCAGATGCGCGAACTCTGTTGAGCGAGAGAACGGCTATACAGCGGCGAAAGCTGAAATTTGAAACGCTGAAGAAGCACGACGCAAGATAAGACCCATGGTAACTTGTCATAGCAAAAGAATCATTGATTTGATAGACCAATGGCTCAATTGCCGTTCCGTTAACACCCGGAACCGGTCACCATTTATTTCTGTAAATGGAAAAACTTCGGTGTGCCTCACATGTATGCAATGTGCATACTGCCGTTACCGTTTTTTTGTCTAATCTTGCTACGGCACCAACGCTTCACATTCGCCGCCACTAGGTTCATTTGGTTATTGGGCACAGCTTCATATTATATCCATAAATAATCCAATGATCATTGGATGCTGCACGACAATACCACGAGGAAACATTCTGCAACCGTACCTCGATGATTGCTTCCATCTTTTTGTGGGCTTCTCGAAACGAATTACTGATTTCATGGAATACTGGAATGAGATTTATTATCAGCCGAACACGTACGTGACTTGTCCCATTGTCTCTGTGCGTGTTTAGAGACAGGAAACGATGTCAGGTCCAATGCTCTCTTTGGTTAACTACTTGGCTGTCGCAGGTTCAGGAGGCTGCGAGACAAGAAGTTTCTAATCTGAATGTCCAAAAATGCCATAAGTTGCCAAGTCACTCATGGCGATCAGCGCCCATCCCTTGAAATACACATTCTATTGTATAACGTGAACTTCTCTATCATTAATCCTTTTTTGTCATCAAGGATGGATAAAAGGGTCGCAACCATCTGTTACTTTCATCGTGTTCGTACAAGCCAACTGTGATATCGCATCCTACACTCGTAACGGTGCGCTGCTCTTGCATCCTGCCGCTCACATTCGTCTAACAACCTCCCCGGGCCCCATAGCAGATGGCACGGAAACTTATCTCATTCCCAGCCTTCGCTATCTTGCTGATCGCTTGTGGTTCGTTTCTGATCATCATTTACGCCTCCACTTGAATCAAACTTCGTTTAGCATCGCTTCTTGTGCGTGCAAACCCAATGCCCTTCTTCCCCATTGAAGCTAGCAAAGAGGCTGCTATTTCTGACTATGTCGTCGAGGTACGCGGGATTGTTCTTGTATTATGCGTTGTTGAATGACAAGTAATGCATAACTAGAATTAATGACAAACTTGAATCCGGTGCACCTTTGTCTACCACCACATAGTACTACCTATTCCGAATTTCTATTGTTACCCGGTCTGATGGTGAACGTGAACCTTGGTGTGAACTTTGAAAAATAATATTTATAGCCGTAGTGTTCAATGTCATCTTTACCTTCCTTGCGCTTACCGTACGATGATATGTTGACGTCTTGACTTCCATCTTCTGCACCTTATGGTACTTCCGCCTTCGTAGCACCCTGTCAGTCCATTTCTATAAGGAATACGGTTACCTCACAGTATTCTGTTGAAATTAGTGCATTATACAATTTTAGACTCCTTGGTGTGTTGTGTCTGCTCACTGCTGGATAGCAACAAGTCAGACGCGTGTCCATTGCCTTCACGGTCGTCCCAAGCTCTGCTGTCTTTCGCTTCCTCTCATTTCGTACACACACAAAAAAATGGAGACAACAGAGGGAGAAAGACGTACAAAGAGGGCAGAATGAAAAAAGCCCAGACTCCGAGGTACCCTTTCCTAGCAGAAATAGTTATGCCATCATGGGGTGCGTTCTGGATTGATTATGTAGAAAGTTTGACCTAAGCCCAAAGTAGTAATAACAATATTAATGTACTTATGCTCATAGATACGGTATGACTATTGCTAGTACTGCCTCAGACGTCCAAAGGTGCAGCTGTATCATTTACCAAGTCACTTTCCAGCTGGTAGTACATCTAGTGAGTGGTAAAATCTACCATCACGATCGCAATCAACTTGAACTAAATTTGGTCCGCGGTATTTAGTACTATTTATACTGCCATCATGAAGTTTCAGCTCAGTTCAACTCATTGTCGTACATGGGATACTTTCGAACTCAACGGACACAAATTGGGATCAAAAAAAAAGTTGACCGCTCAATAGCTTAAGAAGGCTCATGCCAGTGATGTGTGTGAAAGGCATTTTTTGACCTCTCAATGGAGTATTCGACTGACGATGTCGAAGCAGCAAGGAGTTTGCAGTTCGCCAAGGTATGTCTCCTTGTCGATACGAGGATGAATCATAACTCACAACTCATGCACACCAGTACATGTATAGTGCGTACTACTGTCTGAACGTCATATGATTTGTCCTGATACCTGAGCTCAGCGGCGATGATTACATTCTGGGTAAGCTTCAACTCTCGTCTATTCATGTCCACCGTCAAACCCGCTTATCCAGATCTATGATTATGCGTGTTCACTTCATGAAGAGGTAATACACTTCTTCCACGATACGTCTTAGATCTGACACACACAATATGATATACGAAGTGGTCATTTTTACTTCGATCGCACTGGAGCAAGATAAAATGCTTGTATATTGTTACAAAGTACCTCCCCTTTATCTTTATCATCACAGGTCTATACAGTGCGTTCCGCTCCAGCACACATCGCCCTGATTAATTGATTAACACTTTTTTTCAGCGAGCTTTACCCCGAATGAGAACCCAATTGTATGTGATGAGGTGGAGAGTTGATGAGAACGAACGACTTACTCCATGACTTCGCCAGAAATGCGGGATGTTGGTCAATATTACCTCAGGTACGTGCATGGTACATTCATCTACTATGTACAACCTTGCTGAGGGCAGCCCACTCTCTCTCACAGTGCTCGGCATGATAGCAGCCACTTGCGCCGACTGTATTTCTTCTTCCTCCCTAAGATATGCACGTTGCTGATCCGATTCATCCAGGTTTTTTCATCATCAGGACATATGTGTTCTGGAACAAAAATAAAATCTTGCTCGCAGCCATCGTGGGCACCTATATCGTGAGTTCCCAATCCACTCACAATACACAAGCTAGTGGTAAATCAATCAGCCAGTTGTGTCTCGTAGGATCCGTCAGCATTATCATCGACGCTACCGCCTCCGTAGCATGTACGCACTCTCACCTTGCCTCTGGTGTAGCTGAAACATTCTGTTCACTTCCACAGATGTGACTAGCCCGATCCCGAGCATCACAGGGTGCTTCCAGAGTTCAACCGGTGACATGATGTTTATCCCATTTGTTCTCTTTTCTGCGTTTGGAATGGGTAACTTGGAGCATATATGTGTACCAACACGCGCTGACAGGTGTTCTCCCCAGGACTCATGATCCTCACGCTCATACGTGCCATACATAGCTGGTGGAGAAACTCAAGCCGTCTGTACATTGTCCTGATGAACCATAACATATTATATTATGCTTGCGTGTTCCGTGAGTTAACACTCGTACGCGCTATTTTTCTGTGCTCATCCATGCTCATTCTATTTCCTGAAGTATTCTCGATAATGAACATCTTCACATCGTTGCTCCTCCAGGTACGTGAATATTCTAAAGGTCTTCTATGATGGGCCGTTGATGTTCTGCGCCCCAGGAAACCTACCAGACCGTTTTGGATGGGTATGTACCTCTGCATTCGACTGCGTATTCCTACTAATCACACTCGAAATGTACACCCATGTACAGTATCCAGTTCCTAGCCCTTGCGACTGTTGCCACACGCATGCACATCCATCTCTGGCAAACAAATCAACGTTCACGCGGCTCTACTAGCGACTTTGTTCAGATTCAATTATCCGACATATCATCTGTGAATGGCACAGTGTGATGTCTTATCATGTGGTTTACTATCCAGTGTCGTTCATGGAGCGAGGCTTGGACCGTACAAGGCGACTGGTGGGGGGTGGGTCTGGTAGAGTTCGCTACGTGTGTAATTTACAAGATGAGTCTGTCGCGAGGTGGGAGGAGCATTTGGATGTCCTTTTCTATTTGACAACTGTAGTTTTAGCTGCTGTATGTACATTATCATTTATACTGCGACAAATTCGACTTGATCACACAGTTATCCGTGGTAACTCATAAAGACGAAGTTATGACACGGTACCGCCGTGACATCACAGCGAACAAGGAACGGGAGCGCACTCATGTCAACATATTATTTCATATTGCAAGATCATACAAGAAGAATCGCGTTAGCACACATCAACATCCATATATATATGAAACGAGTAGTAGTCAACTTTTTATCACCATCATTGATTACCATCCTCAATTAATCTACCAGACTACCGTATCTTTCCTATCAACTTTTTTTTCACCATCATTGATCGCCACCCTCAGTGGAGTCAGATTAATCTATCAGACTACGGCAGGAAAAATACGTGGTGAAAGTGACGAGACAACCTGCTATTCGGGTCAGTTTTTGCATGCTGTAATTGCAGGCGCCTCGCTGCATCAAGTATCTATCTTGGTCCGGTTAAAATTTTGAGGCAGTTCGATGTACATTGGTCTGTTATGTACGTCTTGTCAGCGAGTGGAATTATATGTGAGCTGGTGCGAATCTGTATTACGTTGTGCAGTACGTAGCAGCACTCCCAAGCAAAGCACTACCGGTAGCGACAAGTGATTGCATAACTGATGGGAACGTATACTGACACAGAAGTCCCCTGATGTTGGCTGCGCAACATTGATGCAATCAACACCTCTGGTCGTTGATAGTGCCTAAACCAAAATTCTCTCGTCTCAGTAAGCAGAGAGTTACATCAAAGCCAAAGCATGTTCAGAACTTCACCAGCTTTCCCTCATATTGTAGTTAACAACCATGACCTTGATTCGCTGACCAGAGGAACCCTGATGTAGGCTACGCGGTATGCTCTCACCTGTCTGCGTGACCTGTTGCGCGCCTTCACCTACAGCCGAACCGTTACCGTGTTTTCGTGCACTAGTAACAACCCCTAGCACGCTCGCTAGGCCCGCCTTCCACGTAGCAATACTCCTCCCATTGCTCTCGCTCAAACGTGCGTGCTGACGAATGGTAAACGTGTAGAGATTGAGTAGTCTGCGAGAGCTTTCCAGTAAGAAGACCGGTACGAATCACTATTCAAAGATTATGATAAACAACAGGATGCCAAGAGGACGTACCATCGATCGCCCACTTCTCTACTTTACTCAATTCAATCTGCTGGATTGACGCGACCTCTGAATACGGCAGGTCATGCCCGATGTGTGAGAACAGTGACACAATGACAGAAGACAGATCCGCCGCTCAAGCTGCGCTCAGTAGAGTTCTGCAGGCCCGTTAATGGTTTAGATGTGTAGTATTAATCATAATGAACCGACTTACCATATTTTTCGAGAATAGCGGGATGGCTTTCGAGCGGTGAATGTAATTCTGGTAGACCACTATTCAAAAACACCTGCAGAAGCGAGAAAGCCTCATGATCTTTCGCAGAGACAACAGCGTCCAACTTGAACAATGGATCAAAGTCGAACGAGGTGGGTGAGCACAACGCCAAGGCTATGGCATTGATCGCTGCAGATTGGGAAGAGGATGGTGATGAAGAAACGTAAGAAGCGTGTGATGATAAGCAGTTTCCCTGGTTGAGTCAGATGTCAACCACAACCTTGATCAGTCAAATAGAAGAATACGTACGGCTGGCCAGATTGTATGAATGCATCAGCAATGGACTTGAAAAATTGACTGCGCTCTTCCCCAGAGATATCCAATTCTTGTAACAACTCCTCGACATCTTTTCTGGATGAACGCAAAGTCTCGAGCTCTCCATTGTTGGCGGCGTAACATGGTGTAAATAGGTAAGCGGAGGACTGAATTACGAGGAGCCGCATTGAAAAAAAAATGATATACTGTTTAAGAACTGAGCACACAAGCCTGCATAAATGTGCTCAAAATTTAGTACTCACACGCGGCACTTCACTGATGGATGCTCGGAAGGTGATGAAGTAAGAATACCCAGGAGCGAGGAGCGAGGAGAGGCGATGTTTAATTTCCAGTGAGTTGGTCGGCCATGCCAAAGTGTCAGAAGGCGAGACGAGTCGGAGAAGAGAAGGTTGAAGTCACCCTCGATTTCTGCACTTCAAAATCAAATCTAATTTTCTGCAGAAAATGCTGAAGATCCCCGGACGCACCTTGTTCTCATCCATTGTCCAAGCTTTTCATCTGATCCAGATATTCAGAGCGACTAATGTTTTGAAGCACCGTGTACCGCGGGTTTGAAATGCCGCAAGAAACCAAATTTGAAACTTGGTTAGGGAGGCTTTTTGAGCATCTTGTGTTTAAGACTTGTAGTGATGAAGAGTTGTATCTGGACAGTTATGCATGAGCGGTGAGTGCATGTTTTTGATAGGGTGGAGTGACTTGTATATATACGTTCAATCGCCCGAACACCGTGAGTCAGGTGGCTTATTAATGCGATTGATAGCAGGACGGGGCTACCTGAAGCGACACAAGAATCCAATGTGACTCTATAAAAGCGTTTTTTGATTCAAATTACAAGGTGAGTAAAACAGCAGCGCTATGTCTCAAAGTACTGTCTGTGCTGCGGGAGATGAAATTTGAAAGTTGGTCGGTGGCAGAAGTTGTCCGGAGAGTGCCGGCCGCAGGAAGTCCGATATCCAAAGAGGTTGGTCACTTCAAAACGGGACCTCGAAAAAACGAGCACCGAGGTAAGTACAGCTAGTTGCCAGGTGCGTTCTGGATTGATTATATAGTTTGACCAAAGACCAAATCAGCAATAACAATATTAATGTACTTCATGTGCCTCGGCATAGAGTATGACTATTACTAGTTGACTTTTGGGGATACTACCGTTGCCTCAGGCGGCCAAAGGTGCAACTATGTCTTTTACAAAGTCACTTTCCGGCTGGCAGTACATCTAGTGAGTGGTAAAATCTACCATCACGACCGCAATCAACTAAATTTAAACTCAGTGGTCCGCGGTATTTAGTATTTAAAATTACACTGCCATCCTGATGCGTTGACCGCTCAATAGTTAAGAAGGCTCATGCCAGTGATGTGTGTGAAAGACATCTTTTGACCTCTTTGAAATGGAGTATTCGATTGACGATGTCGCAGCAGCAAGGAGTTTGCAGTTCGCCAAGGTATGTCTCCTTGTCGATATGAGGATGAATCATAACTCACAACTCATGCACACCAGTACATGTATAGTGCGTAATACTACTATCTGAACGTCATATTATGTGTCCTGATACAGCTCAGCGTCGATGGCTACATTCTGGGTAGGCTTCAACTCTCATCCATTCATGTCCACCGTCAAACCCGCTTATCCAGACCTATGATTATGCATGTTCACTTCATGAAGAGGTAATACACTTCTTCCATGATACGCCTTAGATCTCAGGCTGATACACTATGATATACGAAGTGGACATTTTTACTTCGATCGCACTGGAGCAAGATGAAAGGCTTATATATTGTTACAAGATACCTTCCCTTTATCCTTCTCATCATAAATCTATATAGTGCGTTCCGCTCCAGCAAACATCGCCTTGATTAATCGATTAACACTTGTTTTTCAGTGAGCTTTACCCCGAATGAGAACCTAGTTGTATGTGATGAGGTGGAGAGTTAATGAGAACGAACGACTTACTCCATGACTTCGCCAGAAATGCGGGATGTTGGTCAATATTACCTCAGGTGCGTGCATGGTACATTCATCTATGTGCGACCTTGCTGAGGGCAGCCCCCTTTCTCTCACAGGGCTCGGCATGATAGCAGCCACTTGCGCCGACTGTATCTCTCCTTCCTCCCTAAGATATGCATGTTGCTGATCCGATTCATCCAGGTTTTTTCATCATCAGGACATATGTGTTCTGGAACAAAAATAAAATCTTGCTCGCAGCCATCGTGGGCACCTATCTCGTGAGTTCCCAATCCACTCACCATACACAAGCTAGTGGTAAATCAATCAGCCAGCTGTGTCTCGTAGGAGCCGTCAGCGTTATCATCGACACTACCGCCTCCGCAGCATGTACGCACTCTCACCTTCCCTCTGGTGTGACTGAAACATTCCGTTCACTTTCACAGATGCTACTATCCCGATCCAGGACATCACAGGGTGTTATCAGAGTTCATCCAGTGACCAGATTTTTATCCCATTTGTTCTCTTTTCTGCGTTCGGACTGGGTAACCAGGAGCATATATGCGTATAAACACCTGCTGACAGGTGTTCTCCCCAGGACTCATGATCCTCACGCTCATACGTGCCATACATAGCTGGCAGAGAAACCAAAGCCATCTGTATGTTGTCCTGATGAACCATAACATATTATATTATGCTTGCGTTTTCCGTGAGTTAACACTCGTATGCACTTTTTTTCTGTGCTCATCCATGATCATCCTGTTTCCTAAAGTATTCTCGGTAATGAACATCTTCACATCGTTGCTCCTCCAGGTATGTGAATATTCGTAAGGTCTTCTATGATGGGCCGTTGATTTTCTGCGCCCCAGGACTCCTACCAGACCGTTTTGGATGGGTATGCACCTCTCTGCATTCTACTGCGTATTCCTACTAACCACACTCGAAATGTACACCCATGTACAGTGTGCAGTTCCTAGCCCTTGCGACTGTTGCCACGCGCATGCACATCCATCTCTGGCAGACAAACCAACATTCACGCGGCTCAAGCGGCCTGGTTCATATTCGATTGTCCGACATGTCATCTGTGAACGTCACAGCGTGATGTCTTATCCTGTGGTTTATTCAATGTTGTTCATGGAGCGAGCCTTGGACTGTACAAGATGACTGGTGGGGTGGGTCTGGTAGAGTTTGTACGTGTTTAATTTACAGGATGAGTCTGTCGCGGGGCAGGTGGAGCATTTGGATGGCCTTATCTATTTGACGACCGTACTAGTTCCAGCTGCTGTACATTTATTATCATTTATGCTACGGCAAATATCACACAGTTATCCATGGTAACTCGTTATGACAATAATGACATGGTACCGCCATGACATCACAGCCAGCAAGGAACGGGAGCGCACTCATGTCAAAAGGTCTGATACACACCCTTGGACAGGCATAGTGTGTCTATTTTCTTGGTCTTCCATCAGATACCGTTGTTCAGAGGTTAAGCAGGGTTTAGCACGGACAAGAGGTATATTTGATCTTCTGCATACGTCGTAGAAGTAATTTAGTTGCCGACTGAGGTCTATTCATACCTTGTGGCTTATCGATAAAAGTCCGTATATAGGGTTGGTCTTGAGAAGCTTGGATAGCGCGGAATAGCATGCTGGATGCATTTTCTAGGGAGACATTTGAATGGAGTCTTCTGGATATTTGAGTATGGGAGCTTCTTGTTGCATTTGCTGGAATGTCATTCTCTTTGCTGTTTCTTACCGAGAAACTGTTGGCAAACAAACAAGTCACTATAAAACTTCTGACTCCGATGTATCTCCGTCTCCGAATCACCAATACACCGGTCACGGTGATGCTGTTCAAAGTGGAGTCGGCGACCTAAATGCACCCAGTGACATCATCTACACTGCCGAAGATGACGAGGCCATCGAAAAATATCATCGTGACTGCTGTATGTGTTAGCTTTTGCATTTCTGTCGTTTCAGTTACTTACTGGATCGAATCATAGTGCAAACGACTTGGCACTCACTGATTCTCTTCCGTCTGTTGTGTGCCCAGGATTAACGGATATAAACCAAACTTATACGCTTCAGTGAGTCCTTAAAATTTCTTCCGAGGTCATCTCATCCGCTCCTTTCTAGTCAGCGAATGCCGAACTACGTCATTTATTGCTGGAGTTGCCAGATATCAGCCGATCAACTCGCAGGGACTTATTGACGAGCAACACGATCGGGGATACCCTGTACTCCATGACGAAGATATCGAGGATGTCGAAGTAATGTATCACTAGTTTAGTTGTTCGTTCAACTTTTGTGCCTAACTATGTTTGAACATTTTTGACATACTTTTTTTTGGCTTCAGGTCTCGAACCCTTGCTGAACTGAAACCGGGCCATTATTGGACCGAACCGATGGTCCGGTCCACGGTTCTTCTTGAACCGACCTGATAATGGTTCTCTGAATTTCCTAGAGGACAACTGTACTTATCTTTTATCAAGTCGCTCTCCGGCCGGTACGAGCGGTGAACGATAAAACGCTTCATTACGGCCACAGTAAACTAAATTTAAACTCGAACTAACTCAATCATGGTCCCCGGTATTTACACTGCTATCCTGATGCGCTTAAAGCTCAATAGCTGAGAAGGCTCATGATGTGAAAGACATCTTTTGACCTCTGTGAAATGGAGTATTCGATTGACGATGTCGCAGCAGCAAGGAGTTTGCAGTTCTCCGCGGTATGTCTCCTTGTCGATACGACGATCAATCATAACTGACAAGTTATGTACACCAGTACATATATAGTGCGTACTACTGTTTGAACGTCATATTATTTGTCCTGATACAGTTCAGCATCGATGGCTGCGTTCTGGGTAGGCTTATTCTCGTTTATTCATGTCCGCTGTAACTCCCTTATCTAGGCCTATGATTATGCATGTACACTTCATGAAGAGGTAATACACTTCTTCCACGATACGCCTTAGATCTGACACACACAATATGATATACGAAGTGGACATTTTTGCTTCAATCGCACTGGAGCCATATGAAAGGCTTGTACATTGTTACAAGATACCTTCCCTTTATCCTTCTCGTCGCAGATCTATATAGTACGTTCCGCTCCAGCACACATCGCCTTGTTTGATTCATTAACATTTGTTTTTCAGTGATCTTTACCCCGAATGAGAACCTAGTTGTATGTAATGAGGTGGAGAGTTAATGAGAACGAACAACTTACTCTATGACTTCGCCAGACATGCGGGATGTTGGTCAATATTAGCTTAGGTACGTGCACTGGGGTACATTCATCTATGTACAGTCTTGCTGAGGGCAGCCTACTCTCTCTCACAGGGTTCGGCATTCTATTATCTGTTTGCGCCGAGTGTATATCTCCTTCCTCCCTAAGATATGCATGTTGCTGATCCGATTCATCCAGGGTTTTTCATCCTCAGGACATATGTGCTCTGGGACAGAAATAAAATCTTGCTAATGGCCATCTTGGGCACCTATCTCGTGAGTTCCCAATCCACTCGCCATACACAAGCCAGTGGTAGATCCACCAGCCAGTCGTTTCTCGCAGTAACCATCGGCATTGGCATCGATGCTAGCATCTCCGCAGCGTGTACGCGCTCTCACCTTCCCTCTGGTGTTCCATGATAACTGAAACATTCTGTTCACTTTTACAGATGCGACTAGCCCGATCCCGGGCATCACAGGGTGCTACCAGAGTTCAGCAATCAGTGACCGGATTTTTATCTCATTTCTTCTCTTTTCTGTGTTCGAACTGGGTAACACGGTGCATATATACGTACAAATACGCGCTAAGAAACATTCTCCCCCAGGGCTGATGATCATCACGCTCATACATGCCATACAGGGCTGCCGGAGAACCCCATGTCGTCTGTACGTTGTCCTGGTAAACCACAACATATTCTATTATGCTAGCGCTTTCTGTGAGTTAACGCTTGTACGGGCCGTTTTTCTGTGCTCATCCATGGTCATTCTGTTCCCTGAAGTTTTCGCGACAATGAACATGTTCACATCGCTGTTCCTCCAGGTACGTGAATATTCTAAAGGTCTTCTATGATGCGCCATTGATTGTCTGCGCCCCAGGACTCCTACCGGACCGTTTTAAATGGGTATGCACCTCCACATCCTACTGCGTATTCCTACTAATAACACTCGAAATGTACACGCACGTGCAGTTTCCAGTTCCTGACCCTTGCGATTTTTGCCGCGCGCATGCACATCCATCTCTGGCAGACAAACCATCATCCACGTTGCTCTGATAGCATGATTCATTTGTCTGACATGACATTTGTGAATGTCCCGGCGTGATGTCTTGTCCTGCGGTTTATTCAGTGTCGTTCATGGAGTGAGGCTTGGGCTGTACGAGATGATTGGTGGGGGTTTGGTAGAGTTCATTGAGTCTGCCGCGAGTGATCACACGGTCATCGATGCATAATTATGTATCGTCATTCAGTACTCAGTACTTATCCTTTCTGCACACTCTGACCCTGTTTGCATTCGATCTCCTGTGCCGTTCGAATATTCTATGTGGAAGCGGGTGGGTCATTGCACTGGTACACTCAGGCTGGTACAATTTCACGCTCGCTTCGATCACGCATAGAAATATATCAATTTTGTGCCTGTACATAGGACGGAGCGAGTTATGTGTAAGATACATGATGCGTAAAACACAATCGAGTAACAGGGTTTCTAGATGATTTTATGACTGACGCGAAGTGGGAGGACGACCGAAGTAAAATCCGCAGCAGCAACAGGTAACTTCGTAAGAAACTTCTCCCCTCCCACCGGTTGACTGGTGTGCTTCTGTTGGTCGTGCTTGAGACCCTTGTGCCCCAGCTGGTTGACCTGATTGCGTTGCACTGTCGGCCTGGTTGCTGTTGGTACGTTGCATAGCCACAGCTGCTTCCGCATCAGTTTCATGAACAATGCCGTATCTCTGTATTGTATTTTAATGGAACGAAATTGGAGGGACGACGAGTCACTCACATTCTCGTCTTGAGCAAGAGGTACATCGACGGTGGGCGTGGAATGTCCTCCAGAAAACAACTTGAAGTTGAAATTCCAGTGTTGGGACCGTCGTTCGATTGGTTGGGATGCATTTAGCGGTCGTGTGCCGAAATGTATGGAACTGAGCAAACGACGCCAACGAGTAAAGGACGATGGGCTTGTGGGAGGAGCTGCACGACGAGAAGCGTGGTCTGATTCATTGCCGAAGAAATCATTACCCTGTATCTTGGTGTCAGGCGAGAAAGGTCAAGAACAAGAAACTACACTAACATATCTTGCCAGTCCTTTTTTTTTGGCCTGCTGATGAGATGCAAGACGGGGATCAAAGGACAAGACATATGAGAAAAGGTGGGGTTGTGTTAAGAACGTGCTCAAGGGTTGGATCCGAAGGGCTTGGCTTCAGCTCGTGCGCTGCGCCCCTTACCCGAGTACGTGCCCCTAACTTCCGAGGGTTGTTGAACGATGTCCGAAGGTTACCGGACGATGTCCGGAGGGCGTCGGGCGATGTCCGGAGTCCGATGTCCGATGCGCGGGAATTCCGGCGGACGTTCGGAAACTAGAGATAAGACTAATCCGGATGAAGTCCGAACTAGAAAGGAAACAGCGGAGGACTACCAGAGGTAGAGGCGGAGGTGTCAAGTCTATAGGAGTCGATCCTAAGACGAGCGGAGGTCGACGAGAGAGAAACTCAAGTCGGACGGAGGAGAGAATGAGCAGAGTCTAATATGATATTCGAACTGAGGAAACTACAGAGATTGTACAGGGGTTTATATACTACTGAGGACATAACGGAGAATAGTAAGTGCAGTGCGAAGCTATGTAAAGCTATGAAGAAAACATATGGTACGACTATCACTAGTCTATCGGAACTTAGTAAAATGAAGACGGAGATGAATGAGGAACGGAAAATAAAGCGTACTAACTGATAAGGGAAATACCAAAGGGATAAGGCGCGGAAGTTAGACGCGGGTCGGATCCGGACGATACATAGAAGTCGGCCGGATCCGGAAATCCGGAAATGATGAGTGTGATAGGTCCGGGTCCGGAACGCGGGATATGACAGGTTGCTTACGATTGGTGGGCGTGCAACTCTCGGTTGGGCTGGACGTTCCTAGTAAAAAGTGTGATGTAGTGTGAAGAGAGGTAGACAATACTTGAGCTTTACATTGCCTTCATCCTGAGTGAAAACCGTTAGGAAGAAAAATGAGACAACAAAGCGCATACGTACCACAACGTTTTTGAGCGCTGCCTCCAGGTTCCATACATAGATTTTTTTGTCTGGTCCTGCACTGGCAGTGTATTTTCCATCGCGGGACACGGCAACAGCGTAGATGTTGTCATCATGCAAGAGTGGATCTCCGACTGCCTGGCCCTGATTGGTCTTGATATCCCAGATGCGAACGGAGGAGTCAGCTGATGCGCTAACAATATTTTCATTGGGAGTAAGACAGAGGGATCTGACAGCGTTGGTGTGACCCCAAAGAACAACGAGTTCCTGTCCATCAATCGCCCGCCATTTTCGGATGGTGCGATCAACCGAGGCAGAAAAGATGTGTGCGCCGTCCTTGGACCAACACAATGATGTCACCACACCGTCATGTCCCTTGATCTCCATAAGCAGCTTTCCGTCCCTTGACCACACGCGGATCACCATGTCTGCACCGCCGCTCATGAATTTGTCACCTTGTGGAGAGTATTTGACGGCGACAACCCATCCGTGACTGGTCTCTATGGGTGGTGCTATTTGTCGACCAGTATCCGGATTCCAGCGTCGTATGGTGCCGTCTTGCGATCCACTTGCTATCTCCAGGGAATTGCGAGACCAATCAAGGCTCCTCACTGCGTCATCATGCCCCTCCCACGGGTCGCCGATCATGCTGCCCTCCTTTATATTCCAAAGCCGCAGTCTGCCATCTGCGCTTCCACATATGACCATTGTTTCATCCTGGGATACTACCATCGAAAATATCGCTCCTCCATCGTTATTCAAGGGTTTTCCCACTGTCTCTTCGTCTCTTTTCCACTGACGAATCGAACTATCGTTGGACACGCTCATTATATTGCCACTGGTATCCAAGTAGGCAAGGCTCCATATGCATTCGGAGTGACCCTCAATGACGCACTCCGGCATCAAGCTTCCTACTGGACGTTTTCGCTTTGGTTTCTTCCATGACGTGGTCCGAGTGTTGTGGTCGACAAAGTAGGACCGACCGAGTGGTGATATGTGCCATGCACATCCAGGAACAACGAGATCTCCAGGATCATCTATGTTCAATGGTGAGTTCGCCACTCCTTGTCGCAATTTCGTCCCTCACCTAGTCGCACTCCTGGTAAAGGTCGGTTCCACGAGGCAATTATCAGCGTGTCATCTTGATATAGCGTTTCACCATCCGACGAGGTCTTATACTGTTGCCACATAGGAGGAAGCGCTTCATTCCCGCCTGATTCTAATTGAGTAAGCTGGTAGGTATCACAAGGTAGCTGCTCACCTTCCCAAAGTGCATCCTGGCGGTGCTGTGCACCATATGGTGGTGGATCTTTCGCGCTCGTTCGATATATCGACGAGTGCAATGGCGCTTCTCCTCGTCTCGTTGACATGCTTGACTCGGCTTCTTCGTGTGGCATGAGAAGGATGTCGTGTTGTACAGACAAACTGGACAGTAAAATACTGCGCAAAGTCAGTAATCAAGGGGAAGGAGAGATACGGGTTGAAGGTGATGAAGCGACCTGCTATTTGGGTCAGTTTTGCATGCTGTAGTTGCAGGCACCTTGACACCGCATATCAATGGCTGTGCCAGTCGATACTGTCAGAATAATACATCAAATACGTGACAATTGTCATAAAACGGTGATACATAAACGTTGTGAGTGGTCTGGGCTTGATAGGCTGTAGGAGTAATACATCAGGGCGGATCCTCCCAGCAGGTACTAGCAGGAGTAATGCATCAGGGCGGATCCTCCCAGTAGGTACTGATACATTACTTGAATGTTGTGAGTGGTCTGGGCTTGCACGTGGGCGGAGTGATACATCAGCGCCGCAGTCTGGGCTTGCGGGCGGAGTGATACATCAGCGCAGATCCTCCCATCAGGTACCAGCCGCATCAGCACAGATCCGGATCCCAGATCCTCCCAGTAGGTACAGCTGACAAGTGATGTATCAGCATTAGTCTGTCCAGTAGGGCTGATACATCACTAGTATAAAACACATGAGTAAATAGTAGCTAATATTCGCTGATACATCAATGAGAATCCTCAGCGCTGCAGACACACTGATGTATTACTCCAGCGCACAGCATCAGTAAACTACAACTTTTCCCACAGGGAGCACGGAAGTCACGTTCTTGTGCAGCCCGTGACAGACTCCACAGTTCCTCCAAAGTTCCAGTGCACTCGGACCACAAGGTATCCAGTTCCACGGACATTGCAGCACATTTCGATATTTGTATAGTAGTACTACTACTAGTATCCTATTATAGTATCCTACTAGTATCCGAGTCAGTAGTACTAGTAGTAGTAGGCCAACTTGAAGGATTCACTACTACTAGTATGAACAGCATCAGAGGTATTTGTCGAGAATGCAAATGCGACTGCCGTACTAGACGCTCCTCCCGAGTTCGATGGGTGGGGAGCCTGAGGCTCAGCGGTCTAACAAAGGAGAAATGTGTACGCGTGGTACACACTTTAATACAATATATGGCCCTTATTTTTCATTTTGAACGTCGGATTCAAACGCGACACGTAGGGAACTGCACGGGTACGGGTAACCCACACGGGTCACGTGTCGGACTTAGGCGCACATGATGAAGGTACGAGCACAGGAGAGAAAGCTTAGTAATACGTACAGGAATGAGTAATGTAGGGAACACCGACTTACCCGGGAATAGCCGGAGCGGTGTCAATTAGTAATAGTGGTGCCGAAGTTCGGTTCGGTCGGGTTCATTGCCCTATATCTGCGAACCCCGAACTCGACCATTGGTCAGGTTCAGGCCAGATGGCTGAACCTAGGACTGGACCCCTTCGAACGCGTTCGCAAGAGTTCGGTTCGGGTTCAGGACGCGTTCGAACCCTCGAACCGTTGCTTCAATTTGCAAAAAAAAACAATGTGTACAGTGTCAATAGCTACTAGGACCCTTCCTTCACAATGCGGTTATCATACGGAGCGACAAACTCAGCCTGGGCTGTCGCAGAGATATGCCCTTGACGGTATGCACTCTTGAGCAATTGAAGAGCCTCGAATGTTGTTGGTTGCAAGCTGCCGCGACGTGCGGTCCCAGTAATGCCGCCGCTTGAAAACGCTCGCTCGGACACAACAGCCGAGCCCTGAATGGCCAGGTAGTCCTTCGCGATGCGGGAGACAGTCGGGTATTGCACAGAATGGTGCTTGAAAGTTTGTTAGTATGCAAGCAACACGAATAAAACAATGAGACATACCCCCCACCAGGCCACTACATTGTCAACATCCTCAAGCGGTGCGTCCAGATAGTCCTCGAGTTCTTGACGAGGCCTTCGCGTGGCTGTATCATTCACGATACGTGATTTCACAGAGTTGCGCATCCAGTTATGGCCATACGAGCCTTGGCGAG